CTTACTTTTCCCTGCAGGATGAATAAAAGTATAGCAGGGAGAGTGTCACTTAAACTAAGACCTGAAGAGACCTGTCAGCTCTGAACTGGGATAGGTGGGGCAGAGTGTGCCACGGCCGTTAGCTAGAAAAGGGCTTAGTGCAAAGAGAGGACCAGTGTGGCTGGATGACAGTGGGCTGGGCAGAGTGATCATCGGGAGGCAGAGCGGTCAGCAGGGGCTGATGACGCCAAGCCCCGAGGGAGGAGCGCAGGAGTTAGAGGGTCTCCTGGGTGCAGTGGGCCCTGCTAGAGAGAGTTAAACTACAAAGTGCCGTGATCGAATTCATATTGTGCCAAGCAGCTCTGATTGCTGAGAGAAGAGACTTGAAGGCCCCAGGGGACCTGCCCACCTGTTGCACTGTCTGGAGAGGGGAACAGGGTCCTGTGCCCATGGAGGGAAGTGCCTGGGTCCACCCACTCCTTCCAGGCCTGACTTGCTGACGGACGGATATGGGTGGGGAGGAAAACGACAAACAGGACGCCATCCGGGCTAGCAACTGGAGAGCTGGGTGAACGGGAACGCCATTTTCGGAGCAGGGACGCCCGAGGGAGGGATGGATTGGAGTGACTCTCTACATCCCCTATTTTAAGATGCCTGTTGCACGTCCAAGTCCCCAGCGCCCAGATCATGGCTTGAAGGGACAGCTGTGGGAGTGGAAGTGGGGGCTCCACCAGCACAGAAGGGTGAGCCCATCTCAGCTGCTGACTGACTTTCCCCACACAAATGTGGCTCTCTGCCCCAGAGCTGTCTGACCTCCTGGTGGAGAAACTCCACTCTGAAGTATCATCGAAGCCACTCATTAGCAGTGATTAGTAGAGTCACTCATTTCCCTGGAAGGATGAGGCGGGAGGAGGACTGGGGCTAGAGGTGGCTCCGCACCCTGCGGGGGTGGCCAGAGCTGGTTTCTCTGCCTCCTCTCCTGGCAGGCATGATGTGGCTGCCCAGGTCACATTGGGGACTACGTCACAGCTAGGCAGGTGGCCCTGAAGGCAGAGACCTGCAGATCCCAGCTCTGCACAGCTCACTCTGGAACTGAACTCGAGTTCCTCATCTTGAAGCACCCTTAGATGTGGCCAATCCATGTATGGTCAGCCACCTCCTCTCCTGTGATCTGCAGACTCTCTGAAGCCGACAGACAGCCCCACCGTGACCTCTGATCTTAGGACTCTGAGGTCCTGCCCTTCCTCTGTGTCACTGATGAGTCACGGACAGCGTAGGAGCTGCCCAGCCCTGAGACGGGCACCCGGGGAGTCAGCTGGCTCCGCTTGCCCAGTTTCCCACTTCGACTCTTCCCATGGGCTGTATCCCAGTTGCCCAGGCTCTGTCCCATCCTTGCCTCCCTCCCTGCTTCCGGGCAGTGGAGGAGGAGCAATTCTTCCCAACTGAGCTCTCAGCCCAACGGGCTTTGAGGTGCAGCAAGAGTCAGTTCTGGCTGGTCCCAGGTAGAGGAGACAGAGGATGCTGGGCTGCTTGAGTCTCGCTTTAGATGTGCTGGACACATGATGGGCAATTTCAGGCCATCTTCTGGATCTCCCTGAGGCTTCAGGAAGCTGCTGAGCTGCCGGAAATCCAGACTGGGTTTCTGGTGGAAAGGGAGGAGGGGCAGAGCCTGGGGGCCGGGACTGAGACGGACACAGCTGAGGTCTCAAGGAGCCCATGGTGGAAGCAGAGAAAGACGCGAGGTCAAGGAGCATGGGAACGGTAGGGAGGACTCTGGGGCCTAGGACTGGGCTGGAACCCAGTTTGACCCGAGTCTCCGAGAGGCAGGGAAACCCCAAGTGCTACAGGTTAGGAAGGAAACAGGTTTCCGGGGCAGCTCAGAAGCCTCATCAGATGGAGGGACGTCCCCGTGGGAAGGTGGCAAAATGCCAGCTGGTGAGCAGTGTCACCTCAGCAGGTCCTGCAGCATCCCAGGGGCCAAACAGGCCAGATTTCTCAAAACCATTAGCACCCCAGAAAAACCCTGCCCACAGCCAGCCCTCACTCTCCTCCCTACCAGCCTCCTGAGTCCCTTCATGCCTCTAACAGTCAGATCCCAGCTTGACTCTGCTGCAAGTGGACAGTACCTTCCCCTGCCCTTAAGCAGAGGCTTCTCTATGGCCCCAGGAAGACCTCAGCCCAAGCACCCAGCCCCTGTGCCAGAGTCACATGGCCAGTTCCTGCAGGGGCTCCCGTGGCCTGCCTGAGTCTCTGCTTTGTGGCAGTTCCAGTCCCGTCATGTTTGTAGGTGAGTACGTGAGGTGTGTGGAACTCTGGCTGTCCACGCCTGCATGGTCTCCGATGGCAAATGTCACCCACTCGTTGGTCACCTCAACAGCCTCCAGACTTTAAATCCCCCCCAGGCTCCAGATGCCACGTTTCCCTCCAGCCGGACCTCTGCCCTGAGCTCACCTGCCCTGGGCCTCATCTCCAGCTAAACAGATCCAGAGTCACTCCTGATCCTGACCCCAACCCTCGCCCCAGGCAGCCACTGCCCCCACTGCATCAGCTCTGACCCCTTAGTCCTGTCTGCTTGGCCTCAGAGAAAGATCTAGAATCCATCCCTCTCCCCACATAATCTTCTGTCTCCTGGATGTGACGGGTAGCCCTGCTTCACCCCGGCCTCCTCACCACCAGGGTCACACTCTGTTGCCCAGGCTGCAACAGTGCAGTGACAATCAGCCAGGTTAATGTGGCCACTGCTGGGATCCTGCTAAAATGCAGCCAGAGCTGGAGGGGCTCCAGTTCCTCAATGAAGCCAAAGGCCCTGCATGCATCACCTCCTCTGCCCCTCTCTCCCTGCACCCCGGGGCCTCCCACCTGCGCCCACACATCCTGGCCTTGGCCTTTACTGTCCTGGGGCTAGAACGGTCCCCCGAGTCCACACAGCTCTCTCCCGTCTCAAGTCTCTGCTCAAATGTTACCCTCACGGGGAAGAACTGCCGGGGCTGCTTACTTAAGACTGTGTCTCTCCATCCTCGCCCACCCCAACCCCCACCCCCTCCCCACGCCTCTTGTCTGCTTTCATTTCCCCCACTGACTTCATCAGCTATTAGACTAAATGATTAGAACATTAAAAAAAAAATTTATAGAGAGGGAATCTCACTATGTTGTCCAGGCTGGTGCTGAACTCCAGGGCTCAGGTGATCAGTCCTGCCTTGGCCTCCCAAAGTGTTGGGATTACAGGCATGAGCCACTGTGTCAAACCTAAATGCTTTTTTTTTTTTTTTTTTTTTTTTTTTGAGACGGAGTTTCGCTCTTGTTACCCAGGCTGGAGTGCAATGGCGCGATCTCGGCTCACCGCAACCTCCGCCTCCTGGGTTCAGGTAATTCTCCTGCCTCAGCCTCCTGAGTAGCTGGGATTACAGGCACTCACCACCATGCCCAGCTAATTTTTGTATTTTTAGTAGAGACGGGGTTTCACCATGTTGACCAGGATGGTCTCGATCTCTCGACCTTGTGATCCACCCACCTCGGCCTCCCAAAGTGCTGGGATTACAGGCTTGAGCCACCGCGCCCGGCCACCTAAATGCTTTTTAAATTTTTATTTTTATATATTTAGAGGATATTAGACCAGGTGCAGTGGCTCACACGAGGACTTTGGGAGGCTAAGGCAGGTGGGTCACCTGAGGTCAAGAGCTGCAGATCAGCATAGCCGACATGCCAAGACCCCGTCTCTACTAAAATCCAAACCTGAGCCAGGTGCTGTGGTGCACGCCTGTAGTCCCAGCTACTCGGGAGGCTAGAGCCCAAGAATTGCTTGAGCCCACAAGGTCGAGGTTGCAGTGAACCGAGATCACGCCACTGCACTCCAGCCTAGGTGACAGACGAGACTCCATCTCAGAAAAAAAAATTTTAGAGGGTGCAAGCACATTTTTGTTATGTGGATAAATTGTGTAGTGTAAAGTCTGGGCTGTTAGTGTCTATCACCCAAATCATGAACAGTGGATCCAAGAGTTAATTTCTCCTCCCTCGCCCCCCTCCCTGCCTTCCAAGCCTCCAATATCTTTCTTGCACCCTGTGGCCATGGAGCTCATTGCTTTGGTCCCACTGAGAAATGAGAACATGCAGCATTTGTCTTTCTGTGTTTCACTTGTTCCAATTAAGATAATGGCCTTCAGTTCCACCCATATTGCTGCAAAGACCTGATTTTGTGTTCTTTTTCATGGCTTCATAATGTTCCATTGTGTGTATATTCACCGCATTTTTTTAATCCGTCATCTGTTGATGGACACTTAGGTGGATTTCATGGCTTTGCTGTTGGGAACAGTTGCTGCAATGAACACACAGGGGTGGGTATCTCTTTGGTATAATGACTTATTTTCCCTTGCGTGGATGCCCAGTAGTGGGGTTGCTGGTCAAATGGTTATTGTAGTTTCAGATCTTAGAGAAATCCCCGTGCTGTTTTCCATAGAGCGAAATGATTTAGTTACTTTTTAAAATTCTGTTTCATCCGATGTCCACGTGGCTTTTGGTCTGCTCATTGCTGTATCTTCAGCACTTAGGACAGTGCTGGCACACAGGAGGTGCTCAGCAAATGCTTGTTGATTGAGTTAAGGAGGGCAAGGAGACTGTCTTATTTTCCTTGATAACTCCAGCACGTGGTGGGTGGGCTTGGTAGCCTTTGGTAGAACAATGAATGGATAGCCCTGTTCAAAGCAGCTCCAGGGCCGGGCGTGGTGGCTCACGGCTGTAATCCCAGCACTTTGGGAGGCTAAGGCCGGCAGATCACGAGGTCAGGAGTTTGAGACCAGCCTACATGGTGAAACCCTGTCTTTACTAAAAATACAAACATCAGCTAAGTGTGGTGGTGGGTGCCTGTAATCCCAGCTACTTGGGAGGTCGAGGCAGGAGAATTGCTTGAACTCGGGAGGCGGACGTTGCAGTGAGCCACGAATGTGCCATTGCACTCCAGCCTGGGCAACAAGGCAACAAGAGCAAGACTCTGTCTCAAAAAAGAAAAAAAAAAAAAAAAAATAGAAGAAAAAAAAAGCAGCTCCCCGGACTCCTGGGCCCACATCTGAGATGCCACCATTGGTGAGTCACTTCTTTCACCAGTGGTAGCTGCTATTAGCACAGAAATGCCCCAGTGGCCCTGTCAGTTATCACCACCCCAGTGCACATGGATCAGAGACCCTGAGGCCAGGCTGGCAGGGAGCGGGTAGTGGGTGGCAGGGGCATGCAGCTCATCTGACTCTTGCACAGGCAGGGATGCCGGCCAGCGTGTGGGTCTGGCATTGGCAGGCACTCAGTAAATATTTTGTTGAGTGAACGTTGAATCATGCCAGGGTCTCTGCCCTGTGGCGTTTCAGAGACTCCACCCTCTACACTCTAGTTATTGGGGAACTGGTCTCTGGGGCCTTTCCCCAGGACTTGTGCCAGGAAATCTTCACCCAGGACCTCAGGGCTTCCCCCTGCTCCTCCTGGGCCCTTCTCCTCAGGGCGGTCTTCCTGGCCACCCCATCTCGGGGACAGTGACATCTCGGGCAGGGCCCACGGCTACTCTTGGGTCTCCAGGGCAGTGAGTCAGGTGTTCAGAAAGGTAGAAAAGCTGGAATGGAGAGGAAACCCGAGTGGGAGGCAGAGAGGGAGGCCAGAGCGTTCGATCCCCAGCCACTTGCAGACTCACCTCTTCCACATTCATTTATTCATTCAACAAACATCCGCTGAGCCCCAGGGTGCAGCAGGCACTGACCACGATCCTGGGAGTCCACAGGGAGCCCCCCATCACCCACACTGTTCCCCCAGCACCCAGCTTCACAGTGGCCCTCCAGGGTCCAAGCTACCGCCCACCTCCTGAACACCTCACTGTCATCTGTCACCTGCCTCCCACCCCCAGGAGGACATGTGCTTCCGGAGCACAGGGCCTGTGTGTTATTCATCACGTATGTCCTGGTGCCCAGCAGGGCCTGGCACACAGCAGGTGCTCAATACATATTTGCAGAGTGAACTGGGGAGGCCACCCACCTTACTTCAGAAGGCAGTGGGGTGGGGAGCAGGAGGGCCCTGGCCACACTGGGTGCAGCGCTGAGCTGGGGATAGTGAGTAGGGTGGGGGTGCCCAACTCACATTTCTGCTCCAGGGCTGCTGCTGCTCAGAGACGCGGCCCCTCGCCTCTGCCACTCTGTGTTGTCTTTTCCTGCAGTTCCCCCAAACCCCCTCTGAGTTGTGGGACAGAGAATAACATATCCTCTGGGGCTCCCGAAGGCCCTGCTTTTTGACTTGTCTGTGGGTGGGGCAGGGCATGGCCTCTCTGCCAGGAGAACAAAATAATTGTCCCGCTGCCACCCTTACCCTTAACAGACTGAGGCGGTGGGCAGCGAAGAGTCCTCCCTCAGGGCAAATCGCATCCTGCTCAGAGCGTGGAGACCCTGAAGTAGCTGTGGTGGTCTGCCAGACCCCGACCCCTGCCACCGTGACTCGGCTGGGAGCAAGGTCAGGCACACCCTGGGTAGGGTGAGGCACCTCCTCCTCCAGGCTCCGAAAGCCCCCCGGCGGGGGGGGGGGGGGCAGCAGTCCCAGCAACCATCCCCAGAGTCGGGGTGCAAGTCCGGCTCCACCACTCACCCAGCAGTGGAGTATCTCAGGTGAGTCACTTAACCACTCTAGGCTGCCTCAGTTTCCTCATCTGCAAAGTGGGAATAGTAAGGAAATTTGAGGATTAGGTGAGGCGATTCATGGCACTCCTAAATGTTTGCTCTATTATATAAATCTTATATTGGTATCTGTATAAATACATTGATTACATACACTTTCACTGCTATGGTTGCTTTTCATCCACCCCCCGCCATAGCAAGGGCCCTGCTGGAGGCTTGTTGATGAAATGAGTGAAGGGGTGCAGGCTCCTGCCTCTGTGGAGGAGGAAGCCTGCTCTGCTGCGTGGGAGTGTCCCAAGTGTGGGGCACTGCGTGGGACTGTGGGGCACCGAGTCAGGGAAGGTCTCACAGGATCCAGCCTCAGGTTGCCATTGCCGCCGCTGGGTGGAAGCACCAAGAATCCACTCCCAGCCCAGGACCCGAACCGGCACAGCCCAACTCAGCCCAGCTGCTCTTTGGCTCTGGGGAGTCCCAGCCCTTCCAGGGGTCACTCCTTTCCCAACCCCCCCCCCATTGACCCAGCCCTGGTGCCCATGGGTCCTCCGCTTCCTGGGAGTTCAGGTGAGAGGTGAGTCGTCAGGTGTCTGAATGGCAGGGCCAAGCCCCACCCTCAGGAATGACGGGAGGGCAGCCACCAGGAGGCCACCTAGGTCGCCACTCACCTGATTCACAGCTTTTGGGAAGTGGGTTAACGGGATTTCCGAGCCCTGGGTTGGGCCAGGTCTCTGGGCTGAGTCACAGGGGCCCAGCCCCCTGCTGGTGGGAGCCGTTTACTGAGCCTCCCGCACCTCCTTGATCCCTAAGGCCCTAGGACCCCCCAACACCCAGTTCCCCAGAATTCAGCCACTCCAGACCCAAGAGCCATCCCCAGCCTGGAACCCCTCCCTTTCAGTGCCCTGGGACCTGCCTCTGCCCCGACAGTCAATGTTAGGACCACTGGGTCCAGGCTCTCTCCCCTGCCCTCCAGAGGCCACAGGCTGCACCCACAGCTGGAACCTGGGGTCTCAGCTAGAGACCCCCCTGCACCCCCCGCCCAGGCCCCAGCCCTGTAGCGGCTGGCTTCCTCCCCGAAGCCCCGCCCCCTGCCCATGACCCACAGCCGGGGTGGGGGTGGCCGAGGGAGCCACCTGGGGACTGGTCTGACGGCATTCCGCCTCCTGGGATAAAACCTGGGGCGACCTGCAGAGAACCTACACACCCTGACCCGCATCGCCCTGGGTCCCTCGAGCCTGCTGCCTGCACCCCCGCCCCACCAGCCATGGTGGTTTCTGGAGCCCCCCCAGCCCTGGGTGGGGGCCGTCTCGGCATCTTCACCTCCCTGCTGCTGCTGCTGGCGTGGACAGGTACCTCGTGGACAGGTACCTCGGAGGCTGCGCCTCCCTCCTCCCTCCCTCCTGCTCCCTCCTCCTCCCTCCCTCCCCTCCTGGTCTCTCATCTCTGCTTCTGCTCTCCGTTTATCTCTGGCTCCTTAACTGCTTGGTGCCTCGGTTTCTTCTACGTCTGTGAGGATTAAACAGAAAACGCAGCAAGCCCCCGGTGCACCTCGGCCCCCGGTTCCTGCCGCCGTGGTCGCCTTCACCTCCTCCCTCTCCTCCCTCTCACCTCCGTGTTCTCCCATCTTCTCCTCCCTTGCCTCTGGGGCAGCACCGTTTCGTTTTGTTCCTGGGGCAGGAGGTTACGGGGAGGGCACCAGCGGCAGCAGCGTCCAGGCCGGAGGGGCTCAGGTCTGTGCCTCCCTCGGAGGATCTGGTCCTGGTCGCCGGCAGACAGGCTGGACGGGAAGCTGCGGGAGGGCAGGGCCCCAGGAAATGCCCCGTCGGGAGGGGCCCTGGGGGTGAGAGAATTGAGGAGCTCCCTGGGCACTGGAGGGATGGGGGTTCCTCACCACCAGGTACTCAGGGGGACCCGTCCTCACTGGGCGCTGGGGGACTCTCCTTACTGGGTGCTGGAGGACCCGCCTTCACTGGGCGCTGGGACCCTCTTCACTGCGTGTTGGGACCTCCTCCTCACCGGGCACTGGGATTCCTTCTTACTGGGTATTGGAGAACCTTTCTCACTGAGCATTGGGGGCCCCTCACCACTGGGTCCCGGCGCCCCTCACTGGCCTGACCAATTCCTTCTCTTGCCCTCAGCCACCCTCAATGCGGCCAGGATACCTGGTGAGTGGGGGGGGGGTGTGCCCCTCGCCTGGGAACCGGTCAGAAAGGGGCTGGGGCGAGGCGGGAAGGAGCCGGAGGGGAAGGGAGGCAGGAGGAGACGCCGATAGGAGAAGAAAGGCTTGAGAGGTGGTGGGGCTGGAGGAGAGAGAGACCCAGGAAGGTGAACAGAGCCGAGTGGGCCGGATGAGGAAAGAGGGGGAGGGCGAGACCAGCTGCAGGTGACAGGGAGGGCGTGGGAGGGTCAGCGGAGAGCCAGGCTGGGGGGAGGGAAGGCAACGAGGAAGCGGGCGGAGCTGGGGGCGGGGGTGGGGTTTGGAGTGCAGGTGGAGCTTAGGGTGTGGGTGGGGGAGCTTAGGAGTTTGGGGGCCTGAACGGAGCTTGGGCTGTGGGCAGAGCTAGGGGTGCAGGTCTAGGGATTGGGATTCTGAGGGTGCGTTGTAGGAAGTTGGAGATGCCAAAACTTGACCCTCCCCTCCAGCTCCCCCAGCCTGTGGGAAGCCCCAGCAGCTGAACCGGGTTGTGGGCGGCCAGGACAGTGACGACAGTGAGTGGCCCTGGGTCGTGAGCATCCAGAAGAATGGAACCCACCACTGCGCCGGCTCCCTGCTCACCAGCCGCTGGGTGATCACCGCTGCCCACTGTTTCAAAGAGTATGTACAGCTCCGCTGGGGCACTTGATCCACCAGGCCCTGGGCTCCCTTCACAGGCTCTGCTTCTGGGCCTCTGTTCAATCTTGGAGCCCCTCAGTAGAGACCTCGATTCTACCCAGAAGCCTCTCCTGACTTCAGGGGCCTTCATCCTCCTGCTGTTCCCCCAGGCACCTCCTCCCAGACCCTCCTGGCTGATCCTCCCCTTGCCTTGCCTTCCAGCAACCTGAACAAGCCGTCTCTGTTCTCTGTGCTGCTGGGGGCCTGGCAGCTGGGGAACCCTGGCTCTCGGTCCCAGAAGGTGGGTGTCGCCTGGGTGCAGCCCCACCCTGTGTACTCCTGGAAGGAGGGTGCCCGTGCGGACATTGCCCTGGTGCGTCTGGAGCACTCCATACAGTTCTCGGAACGGGTCCTGCCCATCTGCCTGCCTGATGCCTCTGTCCACCTCCCTCCAAACACCCACTGCTGGATCTCGGGTTGGGGGAGCATCCAAGATGGAGGTGAGGCTTCTTCCTCTCCAAGGTGGTTGGGGGTGGATGGGGACAGAGGATCAGAGGATGGCAGACATGCAGGGACAAAGACACCATAAGCAGCAGAAGGGTGGAGGCCAGAGGCACGGCATGACAGAGACGGAAGAAAAGATGGGCTGTGATCCAGAAGAAACCTCAGTGGACGATTTCAGGCCATTTCTTTCTTTTTTTTTTTTTTTCCTGAGGCAGGGTCTCACTCGGTCACCCAGGCTGAAGTGCAGTGGTATGATCAAAACTCACTGCAGCCTCCACCTCCCAGGCTCCACAATCTTCCCACTTCAGTCTCCCAGGTAGCTTGGCCTACAGCTGTGTGCCACCACATCTGGCTAATTTTTGTATTTTTTGTAGAGACAGGATTTTGCCATGTTGGCCAGCCTGGTCTCAAACTCCTGGGCTCAAGCAATCCACCAGCCTCAGCCTCCGCCTCCCAAAGTGCCAGGATTATAGGTGTGAGCCACTGTGCAAGGCCTCATTTCTACTTAAAAAGTGTCTTTGGCTATGTTTTAAGGCAACAGCCAGCTCTGTGAAACTATTCATTGATACAGGAATGGCTGAAAGGAGGCGTGTCGTGGGACTAAGCTGAATACGGAGTGACTGTAAAAACAGGCCTGATTCGAGTGGGAACAGGCACCCCCTGGTGGCAGCATGCCACAATAGTGGGCAAAATTCTCAGGCGAAAATGCAGCCTCCTTAATTGTAAAATATAATTTTCAAACCGCCTCTAGAGGCCTGGAAGACATCATCTTGAAACTCAAACTAGTAAATAAAGAAGAAGCAGGGAAGCAGCAAGAGAAAGGTAGATGACAGATTGACAGGCAGATGGATGATAGAGACTAGGCCAAGGAAAAGAAACATACAGGCAGAAATGAGGAGAGATACAATGAAGACCTGAGAGAGAGAGAGAGAGAGTTTGAGAGAGACAGAAACTAACTAAGAACAGTGTAAGAAGATGACAATTTAACCAGATTCCAGAATAATTAAGAGAAATAAGGCCGGGCGTGGTGGCTCAAGCTTGTAATCCCAGCACTTTGGGAGGCCGAGGCAGGTGGATCACGAGGTCGAGAGATCGAGACCATCCTGGTCGACATGGTGAAACCCTGTCTCTACTAAAAATACAAAAAAAATTAGCTGGGCATGGTGGCACGTGCCTGTAATCCCAGCTACTCAGGAGGCTGAGGCAGGAGAATTGCCTGAACCCAGGAGACGGAGGTTGCGGTGAGCCGAGATCGTGCCATTGCACTCCAGCCTGGGTAACAAGAGCGAAACTCCGTCTCAAAAAAAAAAAAAAAAAAAAAAAAAAAAGAGAAATGACACCAGTTCAGGTGTCTGGGGATCCCACTGACTCTGTAGGGGCTTCTTCAAGTGCTAGAATTTCGGACTTTCAGTCCTCAACCTGCAGACCACAGGCTGTAGGAAAGGTATGGGGATCCCTCAGGTCCTGGTAATTTTCGACATGGACTGGACACTTACCGAACACTTTTTCTCTAACAGTCCTGGTGCTGGATGAAGCAGTGCAGAGTCTGAGACAGGAAAGGCTCTAACCATCTGTGGATATCAGAAAATGTATTAAAGAGGCAGAGTCCGAGGTTTCACACTCGTGTTCTGATTCAGCAGGGCCAGAGGTGGAGATCTGGAATTTCGATTTTCTGAACGCATCTTGGGAGAGCTAGAGAGCTAATCTGCTAGCCTTTGAGGAAGACTGCTGGGGGAAATCGGGGATGGGGTGGACAGTCCTTTGAGGAAGCAACAAGCAGGGGAGGCCCCAAGCCTGACTCCGTTTTCTTTCCTCCCAGTGCCCCTGCCCCACCCTCAGACCCTGCAGAAGCTGAAGGTTCCCATCATTGATTCGGAAGTCTGCAGCCGCCTGTACTGGCGGGGAGCAGGACAGGGAGCCATCACTGAGGACATGTTGTGTGCTGGCTATTTGGAGGGGGAGCGGGATGCTTGTCTGGTAAGCAACCCCCAGCCAGGAGGGCCTCGAGAAGGAGCCAGCGTCAGCCGTGTCCCCACTGAGCCCCACCACCTACCTCTCCCTAGCCTCCTCCCCAGAACTGGCTGTGCCTGACAGTCTCCAGTCCCCATAGACTCAGCCTCAGCCTGGCTCAGCCACTCACTTATTTGTTCAGACATTAAATTGGGCATCCCAGCTGCACCGCCTCCCCCTCCAGGAGCTTGCATTCCCTTCAGGGGGCTTCCCACGCCTCAGTGCCCAGAGCCCGCTCCAGCTCAGGGGCTGCCTGGAAGATGGTCAGATAGTGCAGCGGCAGCACCTGGGCCTGGAGGTCCTGAGGCCTGGCTGCAGCTCCTACTCTGCCGCCAGGGATTTCTCACCTGGGTGGAGCTTGGGTTCTGCCCCCTCCAGGAAGGAGAAATAGGCTCCCGGGAAGGGGCTCATCTGCCCCCTGACAGGGCACGGGCCCTGGGTTCTGCCACCCCCTGTGCCACGGGTGTTCCTAACCTCTCATCCTCTCTGCAGGGCGACTCCGGGGGCCCCCTCATGTGCCAGGTGGACGGCGCCTGGCTGCTGGCCGGCATCATCAGTTGGGGTGAGGGCTGTGCCGAGCGCAACAGGCCCGGCGTCTACATCAGCCTCTCAGCTCACCGCTCCTGGGTGGAGAGGATCGTGCAAGGCGTGCAGCTCCGCGGGCGCGCGCGGGGGACTGGGGCCCTCAGGGCACTGAGCCCAGACTCCGGGTCCGCCGCGCGCTCCTAGGGCGCAGGGGGACTCGGGGCTGGGATCTGGCCCGGCCAGATCCAGAGCTGGAACTGGATCTGCGGCGGGCTGGGGCAGTTTCCCCCGCTGTAAATAGACCCATCTACCTCTGGGGGCATCCGCATACCCGGCGTACCGCTGCTACCGAAAGAAGGCCCCGCCCCGCCGCGCTCCGCTCGGCGGCCTCCAGCCCCGCCCCCAAGACGTCAGGCCCCGCCTCCGGGCCCCAGTGCCCTTGTGTATATAAACGTTAATGATTTTTATAGCTATTTGTAATCTTTCCCACATACCTTATTTATTCCTCCAATTTCAATAAATTATTTATTCTCCAGTGTCTGTTTTTTTCCCATGCCTGGGTCACTGGAAAGCAAGGATCCAGAGGTGGTTAAGGCGGGGGCTTTTGTATTTTTATTAGAGATGGGGTTTCCTCATATTGGTTAGGCTGGTCTCGAACTCCTGACTTCAGGTGATCCATCTGCCTCGACCTCCCAAAGTGCTGAGATTACAGGCATGAGCCGCCATGCCAGGCCTTGGTTTGTTTTTTTGAGATGGAGTTTTGCTCTTGTTGCCCAGGTTGGAGTGCAATGGCAAGATCTCGGCTCCCTGCAACCTCTGCAATTGTCCTGCTTCAGTTTCCTGAGTAGCTGGGATTACAGACATGTGCCACAAAGCCCAACAAAGAAAAATTTTTGTTGTATTTTAATAGAGATGGGGTTTCACCATCTTGGCCAGGCTGGTTTAGAACTCCTGACCTCAGGTGATCCACCTACCTCGGCCTTCCAAAGGGCTGGGATTACAGGTGTAAGCCACCATGCCCCAGCCGAGGCTTGTTTGCTTTAAGCTATGGTTGCTTGGATTCTTTTACCTGCAGCTAAATACAGTCCTAACTGATACATCTGCTCCAAACCTTCTGTTTTGTAATGGTTTTAGACTTGCAGAAAACTTAAAAAAAATTTTTTTTTTTTGAGACGGAGTTTCGCTCTTGTTACCCAGGCTGGAGTGCAATGGCAAGATCTCGGCTCACCGCAACCTCCGCCTCCTGGGTTCAGGCAATTCTCCTGCCTCAGCCTCCTGAGTAGCTGGGATTACAGGCACGCGCCACCATGCCCAGCTAATTTTTTGTATTTTTAGTAGAGACGGGGTTTCACCATGTTGACCAGGATGGTCTCGATCTCTCGATCTCGTGATCCACCCGCCTCAGCCTCCCAAAGTGCTGGGATTACAGGCTTGAGCCACCGCGCCCGGCTGTTTTAAATTTTTTACAGAAAACTTTGTTTTCATGATACAGGATGTTAGATTTTATCAGCATAATTAAATCCCAGATAAATTACCCAAATTATGAAGACCTTTAGCTCCCAGCTATCCACAAGAATTTCAGACCCTCAAAGGGTCCCCCAGCTGGTTTCAGGTTTCCCCAACATTTTATTGTTGTTGTTAGAGACAGGGTCTTGCTCTGTGGCCCAGGCTGGAGTGCAGTGGTGTGATCATGGCTCACTGCAGCCTGGCAAAATAGTAGCTGTTAGTAAATGTTTCATGCGTTAGTGGTAATAAGTATCATTTGTTTCATCAGTTTGGTGGACAATGTGGATCTCTCTTTTTTTTTTAAATTGAAACAGAGTCTTACTCTCTTGCCCAGGCTGGAGTGCAGTGATGTGATCTTGGCTCACTGCATCCTCTGCCTCCCAGGTTCAAGCAATTCTCCTGCCTCAGCCTCCCAAGTAGCTGGGATTACAGGTGCCCACCATCATGCCTGGCTAATGTTTTTTTTTTTTTTAGGTAGGGTCTAGTTCTGTCACCCAGGCTGGAGTGCAGTGGCACGCTCTCTGCTCACTGAAACCTCTGCCTCCCGGGTTCATATGATTCCCCTGCTTCAGCCTCCTGAGTAGCTGGGACTACAGGTGCCCACCACCACACCTGGCTTTTTTTTTTTTTTTGTATTTTAGTAGAGATGGGGTTTCACCATGTTAGCCTAGATGGTCTCAATCTGCTGATTTCATGATCCGCTTACCTTGGCCTCCGTAAGTGCTGGGATTACAGGCCTTCTTTTTTCTAATCACTCAAGCACTGCGTTCTCTTTTTTTTTTTTTTGAGACCGAGTTTCACTCTTGTTACCCAGGCTGGAGTGCAATGGCGCAATCTTGGCTCACCGCAACCTCCACCTCCTGGGTTCAGGCAATTCTCCTGCCTCAGCCTCCTGAGTAGCTCGGATTACAGGCACGTGCCACCATGCCCAGCTAATTTTTTGTATTTTTAGTAGAGATGGGGTTTCACCATGTTGACCAGGATGGTCTCGATCTCTTGACCTCGTGATCCACCTGCCTCGGCCTCCCAAAGTGCTGGGATTACAGGCTTGAGCCACTGCGCCCGGCCGCGTTCTCTTATTAACAGAGATCCTTTCTCTCTTGAGACCATCTCACTACCTCCATGAAATATCCAAGAATTTCAGAAGTTTATGTGGGTCAAAGAGTCCAGTCCTATGAGAACTGGAAAATGCCATCATTCTTTCAGTTCTGTTGATTTGGTCAACATCAAGTGGTGGTGCCGATGGACACTGGTCTCCATAGTCCTACAGACGCCCCCCTTGTTCCACGGGAAAGACTTTGCTCAACTGGCCCCCTACCCTGATGACTTACATGTGGGATCGGAGGTCGAAGGTCTTCAAAGTCACACTCATAGGCCCAGCCATCATTTCACAGAGCACAGTGCCTGTGTGGCCATGTCTACAGGGCTTCTGGCCTGAGCCACAAGCTGCACATGAACAGATGCTTGGGCTAAGCCTGTGTGTATGAGTCCAAAGCTTGTACCATTTGCTGCATGATAGCCAAAAAGTCTAGAAACAAGGTGCTGGGGTAAGGAAGGCAAGTTTATTTCAGAAAGTCAGTAAACCAGGCCAGGCGCGGTGGCTCACATGTGTAATCCTGGCCCTTTGGGAGTCAAGCAGGCAGATCACGAGGTCAAGAGATCGAGATCATCCTGGTCAATACGGTGAAACCCTGTCTCCACTAAAAATACAAAAATTAGCTAGGCATGGGGGCGCATGCCTGTAATCCTAGTTACTCAGGAGGCTGAGGCAGGTGAATCACTTGAACCCGGGAAGTGGAGGTTGCAGTGAGCTGAGATTGCACCACTGGACTCCAGCCTGGGCAACAGAGTGAGACTCCATCTCACAAAAACAAAAACAGAAAGTCAGCAAACCAAGAAGATGGTAAGAACCTTAAGTTAATAGAATTTCAGGCTCCTTTTATGTTAGGGGAAGGAGGAGGATTGAAATCAAGAGGTGACCCATAATCACAGACATCTGGGCAGCAGTAAAAGGAGGGTACTGTGAAACTTGTTTGTCTTTAGTCAGGTCACAAGACTCTGATAAATCTTTTTTTTTTTTTTTTTTTTTTTGAGACGGAGTTTTGGCCTTGTGACCCAGGCTGGAGTGCAGTGGCGTGATCTCAGCTCACTGCAACCTTTGCCTCCTGGGTTCAAGAGATTCTCCTGCCTCAGCCTCCCACCTAGATGGGATTACAGGCACCCGCCACCGCACCTGGCCAATTTTTTGTATTTTTAGTAGATAAGGGGTGTCACCATGTTGGGCAGACTGGTCTTGAACTCCCCAAAGTGCTGGGATTTCAGGCATGAGCCAGCACATCCGGCCGCTCCTATAAATCTTTAGCATAACATTGTTACTTGTGTGTACACTCCTTATTTCCTCGGGGGTAAGTTTTGAGAAGGGATTATTATCATGCTTGCTTTAAAGTTAAACTGTAAACTAAATTCCTCCCATAGTTCAGCCTACACACAGAGATAAGCAAATGCAGTTCACCTAAAAAGGTGTCACCAGCTGGAAGGGCAGTTAGGAGCCTGAACCCAAAAGTATCTGAGACAGGTCTCAATCAATTTAGAAAGTCTATTGTGCCAAGGTTAAGGGTTCGCCTGTGTCACAGCCTCAGGAGGTCCTGATGCCATGTGCCCTAGGTGGTTGGGTACAGTTTGCTTTATACACTTTAGGGAGACATAATACATCAGTCAATACATGTAAGATTGGCATTGGTTCAATCTGGAAGGGTAGGACCACTTGAAGTGGGGGGCTTCCAGGTCATAAGTAGATTTAAACATTTTCAAATTGGCAATTGGTTGAAAGAGTTATTATCAATAGAAAGAAATGTCTGGGGCTGGGTGAGGTGGCTCACGCCTGTAATCCCAGCACTTTGAGAGGCCGAGGCGGGCGGATCACCTGAGATCAGGAGGTCAAGACCAGCTTGGGCAACATGGTGAAACCCCATTTCTACTAAAAACATGAAAGTTAGCTGGGCATGGTGGCACGTACCTGTGGTCCCAGCTACTTGGGAGGCTGAGGCAGGAGAATAGTTTGAACCTGGGAGGTGGAGGTTGCAGTGAGCTAAGGGCGTGCCACTGCACTCCAGCCTGCGTGACAGAGCGAAACTCCATCTCAAACAAAACAAAACAAAACAAAACAAAACAATAAAGGAATGCCTGGGTTACGGTAAGGGGTGTGGAGACCAAGGTTTTACCGTGTGGATGAAGCCTCCAGGTAGCAGGTTTCAGAGAGAACAGGCTGTAAATGTGTCTTATCAGACTTACAGTTTGTATTGATCTTAATGCTGGTTGGCTTTTCTGAATTCTGAAAGGAAGGAGAGTATAACGAGCCATGTCCAACCCGTCTTTCCATCATGGGCTGAACTAGTTTTTCAGGTTAACCTTAGAATGCCCTTGGCTCAAACCATTCAGATGGTTGGAGGGTCTCAGAATTTTATCTTTGGTTTACGGGAGCAAAACGGACCTGGTTACGCTAGGCCTCCTTTTCACTGCTACTGGGCCACTCAAGGGAGAAATGCCTTTGCAGTCTTTGGGGTTCCTTTTTGCTAATAGACTCAGTTGGGACTATTACAATTAATCTGAGAAATTCTAATAATATCAAACCTCACTAAACTCTGCTTTTGTGACTGGTTTCCTAACTGTAGCTCATTCAGCTATTTAATGTTTTATTTACTATTTGGTTTTTACTCCCATTTCCTGTTTTTCTCCTGTTGGTGAATTTTGCATTCAATCCTTTCAGTTGCTTTAAATTTCCCACATATGAGTTACATCCTTCAAATTCCTGTTCCGCAATGACATGGGCTATAGGAAATGCTGCAGAGATGTATCTGTGTTGGTATTGCTTGTTGCCTAGCTTGTGTATCATAGCATGTGGCCAAAAGATACGTGGTTTAATCTGTGTACCAGGAAGTTGTGGCTATTTCACTGAGGACCCCATAAAGGCTTCATGACAGTTCCTTCTAGACATGCTCCTTAGCCCTATGCAAACTTACTCATGCCATTTCTCAGATTTGCATATCAAGTGGTCTTGAGAAGGTCATCTCAGGCTTAAACCGTCTACCAACAAAAGATTCCATCACATCTCCCCACAACAATGGTGCTCACTAGCCTAATGTTAGCAGAAGTAAAGAGACTGCTCACAAGATTCCAATTAATCAACATTGCTGTCCAGTGACACACACTCCTGCCTGCAAACCTAGAGGAAGCTGGCATTATCATGAAGTCGACCTTACCTCACTTCCAGTACAGAATGAACACTTGCCAGTTCCATGTGCATTAATTTACATTTCACCAGAACTGGGTGACACAGAGACTGGCTATTTTCACCCTGGATTTTTGAGACCAATTAAATTTTTTTTTCTGTATATCTCTAAAAGACAGGGGCATGAAAAAGACCTATAATATCATTATCACACTAAACAAAAGTAACAATTCATTGACAACAACAAATATAATTGATGTTCATATTTCCTGTTCTTAGGTCATTTTATGTTTCCAATGTGCATGTTTGAATCAGAATATTAAAGTGCTAAAGGATGATGTGCTAAACAGTTAAAATCAAGACTCATACAAATCTAAAATTAATACATGCCAATGTTTCACTTTTAGAGAGACAGGGTCTGCTATGTTGACCAGGGTGGCCTTGAACTCATGGCCTCAGGCTATCCTCCCACCTCCTCAGCCTCCCAAAGTGCTGGGATTACAGACATAAGCTATGGTACCCAGCCTTGCGCTTTTTTTTTTTTTTTTGAGATGGAGTTTCGCTCTTGTTAACCAGGCTGGAGTGCAATGGCGTGATCTCGGCTCACCGCGACCTCCACCTCCTGGGTTCAAGCAATTCTCCTGCCTCAGCCTCCTGAGTAGCTGGGATTACAGGCACGCACCACCACGGCCAGCTAATTTTTTATATTTTTAGTAGAGACGGGGTTTCACCATGTTGACCAAGGTGGTCTCAATCTCTTGACCTCGTGATCCACCCACCTCGGCCTCCCAAAGTGCTGGGATTACAGGCGTAAGCAACCGTGCCCGGCCCCCAGCCTTGTGCTTTTATTTAACTCAATTAATGACAAAACCAGTGAAATGTTACGATTGGCTCAAAGGAGAATTCAGAGTAGAAACACATTTCACACACCAGGAATACTTAAGAAAATTAATTTCAACCAGGAATGTTGAAATTAATTTGCCTAAATAGATGTAAAACCAGCTTCTTCCACTACAGGGGAGGGAAATCCATACAGGCAAAAATCATCTGCACTTCTCTAGACAATAACAATTTGCATTCCTATCAGTTATCTACAATTTACAGAGTCTTAAACAGCTCAAAGGGAGGGATCCCCATAGAATCAGAAAACCTGGAATAGTATGAGAGATAACCCATTGAATTTACCCAGTAATTTTTGTGGGTCCACTTGAAAGTCTTTCACAATTTTCCCTTACAAAATAAAGCTTATTCATTGCAGTTGACTGCTATATGTCTTAAATTTAATTTACTCAAGATGTTTCCCCTCCATCTCTTTTTTTCTTTTTCTTTCTTTCTTTTTTTTTTTTTGAGATGGAGTCTCGCTCTGTGACCCAGGCTGGAGTGCAATGGCACGGCCTCAGCTCACTACAACCTCCACCTCCCAGGTTCAAGCGATTCTCCGGCCTCAGCCTTCTGAGTAGCTGGGATTACAGGTGCCCACCACCACGCCCAGCTAATTTTTGTATTTTTAGTAGAGACGGGGTTTCACCATGTCGGCCAGGCTGGTCTCGAACTCCTGACCTCGTGATCTGCCTGCCTCAGCCTCCCAAAGTGCTGGAATTACAGGCGTGAGCCACCATGCCCGGCTCTCTTTTTTTCTTTATCATTTTTTTGTCGAATACCTGGTCATCTGTCCTTTAATCTCACCATCTGGATTTGCTGGTTGTGCCCCCCCATGATGTCTCTAATATAGTCCTCTGTTTCTGTGTTTCCTTCTGGACACCGAGTCCAGATTTGTGGACTCTTCAGGCTCACCTGTCCTGGACTCTGTTCCTATGTCCCACACCCCATATCTGGGGTCTTGGGCAAATTCAGGCACTCCTTGCCTGTCCCCTGGGTGGCTGACTGCAGAAAGACTGCAGATGGCCGGGCGCGGTGGCTCAAGCCTGTAATCCCAGCACTTTGGGAGGCCGAGGCGGGTGGATCACGAGGTCAAGAGATCGAGACCATCCCGGTCAACAAGGTGAAACCCCGTCTCTACTAAAAATACAAAAAAATTAGCTGGGCATGGTGGCGCGTGCCTGTAATCCCAGCTACTCAGGAGGCTGAGGCAGGAGAATTGCCTGAACCCAGGAGGCGGAGGTTGCGGTGAGCCGAGATCGCGCCATTGCACTCCAGCCTGGGGAACAAGAGCAAAACTCCGTCTCAAAAAAAAAAAAAAAAAAAAAAAAAAAAAAGACTGCAGATGTAGCAGTCTCTGTCCCCCTCCCAAGTCTGTAAATTCCAGGCTCTACTGCATTGAAGTAGGAGGGCTGACACGCCTGCCTTGGTGGTTGTGAGGAAGCTCCCGGCCCACCCCTCATACCATGGGACCACTACCGGCAGGGACGTTGCCCTGACGCAGCTGAACTCCCCCTTGCAGGCCTCTAATTTTTCCAGGAAATTCTATCTGGAAAACTAGAATACACACCGGTTGACTGTCTCCTGGCGATGGAAGCAGCTGTTGAGGATTATTGCCTAGATCAATTAGTCCATTAGATTGCAACATGGTGATATTCCTGTTCAATTTGTTAGCAGAAATTCCTCCAAAAAAAGAAACTTTTCATCAAGTATTTATCTTTGTTGCCCCTTTGATCCTATTTTTATGTTTTTGGCATCTATTTAATTATCCTCAAAATAATGAACTATTTCCTCAGCATACTCCAAAAATGATAAAAGAGGTATTTTTTGTAATATTACGAACTCATGAATTTTTTTTTTTTTTTTTTTTGAGACGGAGTTTCGCTCTTGTTACCCAGACTGGAGTGCAATGGCGCGATCTCGGCTCACCGCAACCTCTGCCTCCTGGGTTCAGGCAATTCTCCAGCCTCAGCCTCCTGAGTAGCTCGAATTACAGGCACGTGCCACCATGCCCAGCTACTTTTTTGTATTTTTAGTAGAGATGGGGTTTCACCATATTGACCAGGATGGTCTCGATCTCTCGACCTCGTGATCCACCCGCCTCGGCCTCCCAAAGTGCTGGGATTACAGGCTTGAGCCACCGCGCCCGGCCATGAATTTTTATTTATCTTATTTTATTTTGAGACGGAGTCTCCTTCTATTGCTCAGGCTGGAGTGAAGTGCCTCGATCTTGGCTCACTGCAGCCTCTGCCTCTGGGTTCAAGAGATTCTCCTGCCTCAGCCTCCCGAGTAGCTGGGATCACAGGCGCCACCACCAGGCCCGGCTAATTTTTGTGTTTTTAGTAGAGACTGGGTTTTGCCACGTTGGCGAGGCTGGTCTCCTACTCTTGACCTCAGGTGATTCACCCGCCTCGGCCTCCGAGAGCGCTGGGGTCACAGGCATGAGTCACCGCACCTGGTCTTATTTCATGTATTTAAATCACTCCAAGTTATTGCCCATACTGATGCTCCAACTGCCCCATCTTGGGCCAGTGGGAGTGTCTTCTAGTTGGTTCCTGAGAGGGAACCTTCCATCATACCTTCCAGAGCCTGAGGCCAGGCTGGGATAATGCTCCAGGACGCGCACACTGGAACCCAGCCGGACGGCACGGGAAGTCCGTCGGAAACCCTCTTGGAGTCCACCGGAAGTTCCGCGAACCACCCTCAACTTCCGGAAGAGCGCAGGAAGTTTGCTGGAAAACCGCCGGAAACGGACAGGAAGGAGTCCCTGCGACCGCGAAGCCTCCTGCAGCGCCCCCTGTTGGCAGAGGCTCGGCTAGGCCGAGATGAGGTTCACGACGTGGCCGCGTGAGCATCCCGGCTGCCTGTGGATGGTTGGGCGTGGAGCTGATAGGAGACGACAGTGGGGAGCTTCCCCAGCGATCGTGGGCTTCTCGGGTCAGGCTGACTTCAGGCCGGACTGGAGGCCCTGCACAACACCAAGCGCGTGGCGGGGTCCTCAGCTGCCTCGGGGACCGGTTCCACCTCTGCTTCTGGCCCTGGGATGGGGGCCAAAGGTTTTGGGCAGAGGCAGCAGCAGGAGGCAGTAGCACCTGGAAAACACTGTGTCTCCTGAGTTGACCCTTTCTGTCTGGGGGCTGTGCCCTGGATGTGTTTGTTTCCATAGCAACGAAGAGGGCTCCCCTGGGCTCCAGTCCCTTAGATAGGGTGTGCCCCGGGAGGGCGCTACAGGAGCTGCAGGTCCCTCTGGTGGGAAGGGAGCCTCGGGCAGCTCACCCCCGGCTGGCCTGTGTGGAGACATCACATTTCCTGGTGGGGGATGGGGGTGAAGAGGGTTGGTCCCCCCTGTGCCTTGAGCAGAGCCTACAGTGGGTGAAACAGTGGGGGTCTCCTGCCTGCCTGCAGGATGGGTGGGGCTTCCACATCGCAGCCCAGCAGGGTGGACTGACCAGTCCACTGACCTCTGGCTCCTTGGTGGGACTGGCCTGAGGTGGATGCCGGCATTCTGGCCTCCTCTAAACCACCTCCCTGGAACATGTGGGACAGGAGCCCAAGAGGCATCTGAGGAGGGTGGGTTCTGCCAGGCACAGAGGGCTCGCTCCAGTGTGATTGTCACTGGTTAATGACCCGCCATCCCCACCCCCCTTTGCCCCTCTGGTGCTATCCAAGGACTCTGACCCCATTGCAGTGTCTGTAGGGAAGAGGAGCCATGGGGCTTTGGGCAGGCCCCATCCTGCTTCTGCTGCTGTGCCTGCTGCCAGGTGAGGGGTGCGCCTCTGTCTTCTTCCTCCCAACCCCTGCCAGCCTGTGTGCTCCCCTTTGCTCTCTTGCTTTCCAGGGGCCCATGGGGATGTGCTGCCTTCGGGTAAGGACCAGCTGTGAACATCCCATCCCTGCACTCACCCAGCCCCTACTCCTGGCCAGGGAGGACTGGCCCCAGGGGACGTGCAGAGGCCCTTGGCCCTGGGAGCCTCATCCCTGGACATCAAGGGCAGAGGGATGTCAGGAAGTGTTAGGGTGAAGAGTGAGGCCGGGAGTGAGATGCTTTCTGAGAGGAAAGAAAGCTGATGTCCCCCAGCTGCCCATCCCTCTGCAGAATGCGGCCACCCCAAGGAGGCCGGGAGGATTGTGGGAGGCCAAGACGCCAAGGAAGGACGCTGGCCATGGCAGGTTGGCCTGTGGTTGACCTCAGTGGGGCACATATGTGGGGGCTCCGTCATCCATCCACGCTGGGTGCTCACAGCTGCCCACTGCTTCCTGAGGTGAGTGGGGCTGGGTAGGGGCAGCCGGGCGCTCATCACACCTCCCCTTGGTGGCTGCCTGCAGTGGGCTGTGTCTCCGTTCCCTCCCAGGTCTGATGATCCCAAGCTCTACCGTGTTAAAGTCGGAGGGCTGTCACTCTCCCTTTCGGAGCCCCACTCCACCTTGGTGGCTGTGAAGAGGCTCCTGATCCACCCTGCGTACCATGGGACCGCCACCAGTGGGGACATTGCCCTGATGGAGCTGGACTCCCCCGTGCAGGCCTCCCTGTTCAGTCCCATCTGCCTCCCAGAACCCCAGAACCCCCTCGCCTTTGGGACCCTGTGCTGGGTAACGGGCTGGGGGTCCAACCTGGAGAAAGGTAAGGGGGAGATGCACTCACCAGCCCCCACTCCTGGCCTGGGAGGACCAGCCCAGGGACCACGTGGAGCCAGCCTGAGCATGGTCTCCATAGCCTTTGGTCCCGTGTTTGTCTTCTCCCCCCTCCCACCCCACCCTGAAGCTGGGAGCACTGGGAGAACACTGGGAGACTGTGGGACTCCCCTTGGCTAAGGTGACCACCATATTGGATTTTGGGGATCTTGAGCCAGTGTCGAGGATTGTCCCTGTGCAGGGATGAATAAGCTGAGGCTAAGAGGTCATGAGATTAGCCAGGGTCATGGGAGAGGATCTGGGCTTGAGCCCCACTTCCTGACCCCACTGCCTCCTGGTTTGGGAGTTGGGAAGGGTAGGGTGGGTGGGCCGAGAAGAGGTGGGAGGTGAGAGGGAGGAGGCTCACCTGATGGGGACGAGTCTCGAGGTGGGCTCAGGCTGCCCCCCCATCATGTCTAGCCGTGTCGAGTGTCCTTCAGGAGGTGGCTGTGCCCCTCCTGGACACGAACATGTGCGAGCTGTTGTACCACCTAGGAGAGCCCAACCTGGCTGGCCAGCGCCTCATTCAGGACGACATGCTCTGTGCTGGCTCTGTCCAGGGCAAGAAAGACTCCTGCCAGGTGACAGCAGCTCCTGGCCACCCCATCCAGATGTGTGGGCTCTTTAGGCTCACCCTGTCCTGGACTCTGTCCCCATGTCCCACACCCCAGGGTCTCCAGAGGGACCGGAGTCGTTGCCTAGCCCCTTGGCCTCAGCAGCAGATTCTTGATGGCACTTGGGGCCCAGGTGTCTCCCTCAATGTGAACTTCATGGGGCCCTTCCTCTCTCTCCTCCAGGGTGATTCTGGGGGGCCGCTGGTCTGTGCCGTCAATGATACGTGGATCCAGGTCGGCATTGTGAGCTGGGGATTCGGCTGTGCCCGGCCGTTTCGGCCTGGGGTCTACACCCAGGTGCTAAGCTATACAAGCTGGATTCAGAGAACCCTGGCTGAATCTCACTCAGGCATGTCTGGGGCCCAGCCAGCCTCCGGCTCCCCCATAGGTGCCTCTGGGTCCAACCCAATGCTACTGCTGGAGCTGTTCAGCATACACTTGCTTGGGGCCCTGTGAACCAGGAGCCATGGATTCTGGGATTCCCCCTTCTGGTAGGATTGATGAAATCAAATAATAAAAACTGTAGGTGTGTATTTTATGTTTTTGCTTTTCTAGTAATTCATTTGTGTCGTTCTTTACAAAAGCATCTGGCTGTGGTAGATTGGGAGAGCGTGGTCCCTGCCCCAGACAGTGTCTGCGGGCTGTCTGCATCGTTAGGTTCACGGTGTCCAGGCTTGCTCAGGACGGTCTTGGACGATGTCTGAACTGTGTAGTTAAATAGGATCCCCGTCCCTCTCAAAAGTGTCCCAAAAGTGGGAGGAAAAGTTATATAGTCACCGTGACTCAGCCAGTGCAAGAGCCCGAGTTCCTTGAAGCCCACGGGATTTTCGGTCTCAGGCACCCTTGTGGTTGCCATGGCCACCAACTGGCTAATAATAGACCTTGTTCTCCCAGCTCCGCCCATGGAGCGTCCACACCCCTGCCCCCCACCGTGCCCGCTGCTGACTGCAGCCAGTGGGGGCCCTGGGGGCTGTCCCGGGCATGAACAGGGACTTTGAGGACATCGCCAATGTGGTGGACAGTGCCCTCTGCCTATGTCTGAGAAGCATAGGCAAAGCAGTGCCTGGCAGAGCCAGTTCCACGCTTGCAGGGAGGGATCCACTTGGACATTCGCATCCTGTGTCAGTTTAAGAAACTCACCGCCTCCATGAGACAAGGTGGCTGGGCTTTCGCTCCAGTTTGGCACCACCATGTCTGGGAGGAGGACCTCTGCTTGGGTGGGGCACAGTCGGGTGAACCTTTGTCCCGGCGCCACTCCCCTGCCCTGGAGGTGGCTGTCAGAAGCACCCCAGGGAGGAGAGGGGCTTCGAGGTCGCAGGTGGGTGGGCAGTGGTGCCTTCACCCCCACGCCTCCGCCCCCCCCAGGGAGCACCCTCAGCTGGGTGGCCTCTTAGGAAATTTAGGTTTTTCTGCTGCCCTAGAAGACTGGATGGTCTAGAATCATCGCTCCTTTTGCTATGGGCCTGTCTTCACAGGGTCCCACTGTGATGGCCTGGCCTCCTTCCAACCCTTTGCCTTCATCCCAGGAAGGATGGCATCCTGAAGGGGTCAATGGATCAGCCAGGAGATTAGCGTCCTGGGTAGAGGTCTCTGGCCTCTCAGCGTCTCTGTCTTGTCTCACAACTTTCTTTTGCTAATCACTTTCATGCATCAGTTTGCTAATGGATTCTCCAGCTCTTCACTCATTATAACCCCTTCCAGAAATCTAGTGAGGAGGGAAGGTGATGGATTAAAACAAAATCGTCACTTTTGCATTTCTGCTTAACATGTTAGCCGGGCGCGGTGGCTCAAGCCTGTAATCCCAGCACTTTGGGAGGCTGAGGCGGGTGGATCACGAGGTCAAGAGATCGAGACCATCCTGGTCAACATGGTGAAACACCGTCTCTACTAAAGATACAAAAAAACTAGCTGGGCATGGTGGCATGTGCCTGTAATCCCAGCTACTCAGGAGGCTGAGGCAGGAGAATTGCTTGAACCCAGGAGGCGGAGGTTGCGGTGAGCCAAGATCGTGCCATTGCACTCCAGCCTGGGTAACAAGAGCGAAACTGCATCTCAAAAAAAAAAAAAAAAAAAAAACATGTTAGAGCTGGCAGTCCTCCCTCACACAGGCCTGAAGCACCAAGGGTATCTCAGAAGCACCAAGCCTCCCTCCTTACATATTAGCCCCTCCAGTCTCTCCTTTTTTCTTTTGTGACAGAGTCTCACTCTGTTGCCCAGGCTGCAGTGCAGTGGCTCAATCTCAGCTCTCTGCAGTCTCGACCTCCTGGGCTTAAGCGATCTTCCCACCCCACTGGGAGTACACGTGCACACCACCACACCTGGCTAATTTCTGTATTTTTAGTAGAAACGAGGTTTCACCATGTTGCCCAAGCTGGTCTTGAACTCCTGACCTCAAGTGATCTGCCTATCCCAGCCTCCCAAAGAGCTGGGATGACAAGCGTGAGCCACCGCATCCAGCCCACCCCTCCAGTCTCTTCCCCAGATGACCATGACCAGGACTGCGGTGCTATCAGCCCTGTCCCACTTCCATTCAGGAGGGCCCTGTCCAGGTTGTGCGTGTCTGTGTATGAATGTGTCTGTGTGTGGGTGTGTATTTATGTGGGTTTGTGTGTGTATGCATGTGTGTTTTTATGTGTATGTGTAGGTGTCTGTGTGTGTATGTATATGTGGGTGTGTATTTGTGCATGTGTGTCTGTGGGGTAGGTGTGTATGTGTGTGTATGTGTCTGTGTGGGGTTGTGTCTTTGTGGGTATTTGTGTGTGGGTATTTGCATGTGTGTATGTGTGTTTCTGTAAGGGTTGGTGTATATTTGTGTGGGGTGGGTATGTATTTGTGTGTGTATGTATGTGGGGATGTGTATGTGTGTGTGTTTCTCTGTGTGGGTGGGTATTTGTGTGTATTTGTGTCTATATGTGTGTCTCTGTGTGGGTGGGTATTTGTGTGTATGTGTGTATGTGTGTGTATTTGTGTGTATATGTGTGTCTCTGTGTGTGTATTTGTGTGCATGTGTGTGTATTTGTGTGTATATGTGTGTCTCTGTGTGGGTGGGTATTTGTGTGTATGTGTGTATGTGTGTGTATTTTTATTTTATTTTATTTTTTTTGAGACGGAGTTTCGCTCTTGTTACCCAGGCTGGAGTGCAATGGCGCATCTCGGCTCACCGCAACCTCCGCCTCCTGGGTTCAGGCAATTCTCCTGCCTCAGCCTCCTGAGTAGCTGGGATTACAGGCACGCGCCACCATGCCCAGCTAATTTTTTGTATTTTTAGTAGAGACCAGGTTTCACCATGTTGACCAGGATGGTCTCGATCTTTTGAGCTCGTGATCCACCTGTCTAGGCCTCCCAAAGTGCTGGGATTACAGGCTTGAGCCACCGCGCCCGGCCCATGTGTGTGTATTTGTGTCTATATGTGTGTCTCTGTGTGGGTGGATATTTGTGTGTATGTGTGTATGTGTGTGTATTTGTGTGTATATGTGTGTCTGTGTGTGTATTTGTGTGTATATGTGTGTCTCTGTGTGGGTGGGTATTTGTGTGTATGTGTGTGTATTTGTGTGTATATGTGTGTCTCTGTGTGGGTGGGTATTTGTGTGTGTGTGTATATTTGTGTGTAAATGTGTGTCTCTGTGTGGGTGGGTATTTGTGTGTATGTGTGTGTATGTGTGTGTATATGTGTGTCTCTGTGTGGGTGGGTATTTGTGTGTATCTGTGTATGTGTGTCTCTGTGTGGGTGGGTGTGTATTTGTGTGTATGTGTGTATGGATGTGAGTATACCCGGTGCTGGGGCTGGGGCTGTTCAAAATTATACTTACTGGGCTTGTGTTCCTTTCCCACTAATTCAATCTGTTTCATGGACGGACTCCTCAGCAGAGGTCTATTCAAACAACAGTGCCTTTATACTAGCTCCTAATGCTGACAGATTCCCTGCCCAACTTGAAGAGGAAGGGTTGAATTTTAATTTGTCTATTAGGTATAAATTTCCACCACTGTGCATAGGAAAAGCTTCTGAATGTTTAAAGTTTGATTATCAAAATTGAATGTGGACAGTGGCATTTGAAGGCAACATTTCTTGTCACGTACATAATGTGTTTAGTAGTTACTCTTTCCAAGTACTTACCCATGAGCTAAATTCTCCACAAACTTATAAAACCAAGGGGCGACTAGACTGCTAAATAAGGAGGCTGAAGGACCTTTTAGGTTTGACAGTATATTACGGGAAAATTATAATGCTCTAAAACCTGTTTTCTTTTTTTTTGTTTTATTTATTTATTTATTTAAGATGGGGTTTCACCATGATGGCCAGGCTGGTCTTGAACTCCTGACCTCAGGTGATCCACCCACCTCAGCCTCCCAAAGTGCCAGGATTACAGGCATGAGCCACCGTGCCCAGCTAAACTGTTTTATTACACAACTCTAATACAGAGATTATTATTGATTGGGCCCCAAAAGGATATCATTGGGTAAATTGTCTTAACCAAAATACCCATTGTCATAAATATAAGTATTTGTTAAATTATGTGGAAGGAGCATGGTCATCTTACAGACAAAGAAAATGGGTTTCTCCTTACCCACTCACATGGATGGAAAAGGGAATTGTTTCCTCCAGACCAAAAGTGATTCGCCCTATTGTTACTCCAGAAAGTCCAGAACTGTGGAAATTGGCTGTGGCTATATCTGGAATTAGATTTTGAAATACAACCTGTCGGCCGGGCGCGGTGGCTCAAGCCTGTAATCCCAGCACTTTGGGAGGCTGAGGCGGGTGGATCACAACGTCGAGAGATCGAGACCAACCTGGTCAACATAGTGAAACCCCGTCTCTACTAAAAATACAAAAAATTAGCTGGGCATGGTGGTGCGTGCCTATAATCCCAGCTACTCAGGAGGCTGAGGCAGGAGAATTGCCTGAACCCAGGAGGCGGAGGTTGTGATGAGCCGAGATCGCGCCATTGCACTCCAGCCTGGGTAACGAGCGAAATTCCGTCTCAAAAGAAAAAAAAAAAAAAAAAAAAAGAAATACAACCTGTCAAAAAATTCTCCACAGAGGCCGAGCGTGGTGGCTCAAGCCTGTAATCCCAGCACTTTGGGAGGCCGAGGCGGGTGGATCACGAGGTCAAGGGATCGAGACCATCCTGGTCAATATGGTGAAACCCCCATCTCTACTAAAAATACAAAAATTAGTTCGGCATGGTGGCGTGTGCCTGTAATCCCAGCTACTCAGGAGGCTGAGGCAGGAGAATTGCCTGAACCCAGGAGGCGGAGGTTGCGGTGAGCCGAGATCGCGCCATTGCACTCCAGCCTGGGTAACAAGAGCGAAACTCCGCCTCAAAAAAAAAAAAAACCACACAAAAAAAACTTCTCCACAGAAGGACAGCTACTTACAAGATTGTTCTCACTCCTGAGAAAGTGGCGCCCATAAGGACTTGTGTTAAACCACCTTGTTACTGGTTGAAAAAAGAATGATCACGCCCAGCACTCAAACTATTGATTGTGACCAACGAAACTGTTTACTTGTATTGACAGTACCTT